GATGTTTTCATGGCAAATTATGCATAACAAGTTTGCACCCACATGGAGAGGTTACCTCCTGCGTAGCTGCATTTTTCAGAAGTGAAAACATGCTATAAATGATGCTAAATGGTCTTCAAAGTGATAACAAGATGACAAATCATCTTTATTTTGAGTAATTGAGCAATTTACTTCCGTTTACATCATATTTACGATGCAGCATTGATCGAGCCGTGATATTAAATGAATATATCTTATGAAAGTTCATCTGGAAAAGTCAAAGATGCACATCAGTCTGATCGTAAAAACGTTTTCTTCTTCAATTCGAATGTTATATTGGAAGGATTTTAGGCAGGCTTGATGAAAATTATGATTTAATGCTATTTTTCACGAATTTTATATGCAGTCTGTAAACATTATCATCATCATGCAGTGGCAACCTGACCTGATGCCTGAAATTCGATGGCTTTGTGTGACAATCGAGGAGGCACCAAATTATGAAAAAATAACTATTTGTAGGGCGCCCATGGCTATACAAAAAAATGGTGAAAGGACACTCAACACAAACTGAACTAAAACCTAAATAAATATCCTTACAAATAGTCAACCAGCACCAAAAATAAAAACATTTGTGAACCTTTGCATCTAGGACAACATATAACAACCAAAAGAAAATAAAACGATGAAACAAACACACGAATATAAAGTCCGTGTTCTTAGTTTGTTCCATCGTTCACTTATGTAAATAACAAAGAAGACGGCAAAGCTCCGCAACTTAATTTTACAACCCTATTAAAATTTACTAACGCCTGGACTGTTCGCATCTCTACCTCATCATTGCCGAATTTGAGAGGATATGGATAATCGCTAATCCACCGCTTCGGGCGAAAAGCGATTTCACCGCATCGAGATCGAGATAATGGATAATGAGAAAGGAAAGAGGAGGAAGGAAAAGGGGAGACCAGCCAGTGGATTTTGGATGCCCGACCAGTGAAGACGTCAAGAAGTAACTGTGTAAAATATCAAGTATTTTTCTCTCCGAGTGCGGAAAATTAAAGGTATTTGAGACTGACCACGAGTGTATTCCGCCGCGTTTGTGACCTCGGTGAAGAACACGATCAGCGAGTTTCTCCTGTTACCGAACCAGCCGTGTTACAAGGCCAGCAGTTGCCACTTTTTACCCGCTGCGTGGTAGCCACGTTTTACCGGCAGAAGCCAGCTGCTTCAGGTTTTTGAACGAACGGACGACTTCTGAGTATCCTTGTGGTTCCGGGTCAGACAGTGCGGCTACCCCACGTATTCCGGAACATTGAACCCGTTCCCAGCCACGCCAGTCAAGTTTAGAGCATCCGGGAGGACAGAACAGAAGCATCCCCGCGTCGTAGGTTGGGTGAACACGTGACTACGACACGCCTCCGGCTCCGCCGGCCAAGATCAAGTGTCCCAAGGATTTTTGAGGACGGAGAACCACATCCCGGCCGCGTGAGAAGTGCAGGAGAACGGTACAACAACACGACGAAGACCCTTCCATCATCCTGATCTCCGACGTACGAGACGGGTTAGCCAGTGGCCAACGAGACCCCCTTACTATCGTTTCCCCCTCGCTTATTGTTACTGATGCCGATGAGTTTCCCATCCGTTTGCGGGCTAAGGTAGAGCTGCAGCCAACATCCGAGGATCCTGCGATCGATTTTCGTGGACAGCACCTAACCTCGAACAGCTCTACTCTTCCTTCCAAGCCTCTGCAGGGCAACAGGTATGAAACAGAACCCTCCTTCCTATCTCTCCGCATGTAACCAAGGGCCCCAACGTTACAGATCGTCCGCACCGGTACCATCCCCTTTGTGTGATATGTCCCTCAATAAAATTTAAGAAAATGATATCTATTTTGTATGTTATTCTTTTGAAACTACACGAGCCCATGCATGTCGACTTAGGAAACTGTGTTGTCCACTTCGCTTTAGTGTTGGGTTGTGAGTCTTCCGAATAAGTGGATGAGCCGCCCTAGAGACAGGTAAGAGTACCGGTGAGCTAGCCGTTTCTTACCACATCAATAGTTGCAGTCCTATGATCGTTTGTTTGAATGTTGATATTGTATGCTACTTAACGTCAGACCTATAAAATTGAAATTCATGCAATATTTTTTTCTTTTTGTTAGGAAAACACATCAAGGCAATCATTAGAGTCTTATGATGATATACTTTTAATATTTCTCTTGATATCTATCACCGACAATGTGATACGTGACAATATTAAAAGAAGTGCAGCGCATTGTGATTAATTTCACCCCGGATTACGGTACTTCCTAAACAACCTACCTGAAAGAACATTGAATTTTTAAACAGTTGGAGATCCTCAGAACTTGATAAACGTGAAGTCTTGGGAAAACATCCAGAGAACTTTACTAATATCTTTGTCTAAGTGGAGATCTTTTGAATATTTCCTGCTTTCTAGAAAGGATGTCTGAAAGAATATCCTGTAACTTATGCAACGTTTCCTGAACGTCTACAAAACTCCCTTAACCTTTACTAAATTTCCTCAACTTCTACGAAGTTTCCTGAATTTATTCCAAATTCCATATTTTGTCAATCTCTCTTAATTCTACGAAGATCTCTGAACATCTTTGGACTTCTGGAAAGGCACCTATCATCTTCAAATATTCTTGAACAACTGGAAAGTTTCTTGAAATTTAACAAAGTTCTCCAAACCCCCAAGAAGTTCATGGAGCTTTTTCGAATTAAGATCTCCTAGAAGTCTATTGAACTATCTTTAGATCTTCTACAAAATTCCCTGAACTTTTTAAAAAAAACCTTACACTTATATGAAGTTTTACGCAACTCCTCAAAATGCTACGAAATTCGCAAAAGTTCTACATACTTTGTGTTATTCTTGAGAAGGTTCCTTGACGTACTTTTACATAATCTATTCAAATTTTTATAAAATCCTTGAGGATTTCAAAATTCTCTGAAAATTCCAGATTTTTCCAGGAAAAATAATACTCCTCGAGGATTCCCGGTTTTTCTATAGCCGCTATATTCAGTCTGGCGGACAGAATTTCGATCTATCAAAAAGTGGAACCAATTCAATATATTGTAGACAAACGAATGAAAAGGTCCTATCAACTTTTATAAACAAAACGTTGATTATTCTTTCCTCGACAATCGAACGCAAATAACCGGCATTATCGGACAGGGGAATCTTTCCCCAACCCAAAGATAGTGTTAGTTTGCGCAGGCAAGCCTTGAATCACGAGAAAACGGTTTCCGAAGTTTTGTTCGCAATAGCTGATGTGCTCTTTTCTGTTGTTGGTCGTGATTTGCTCGATTGGTTCCGCTATTTGACAGCTCAATTGGCTGCTAAGATTATATCCGCCAAACTATGAATATAGCGACTATTCATGTATTTCCAGGTTCTTCCAGGGACTTCAGACACCCTGAGAATAGCAGGTGATTTTTTAAGAGAATTAAAAAAAAAAATCTGATCAGAATTCAATGAGAAGAATAAACATAATTTAAAGGGTGTTCTGAAGGATAACAAAAGTTGAGACTTGTTCTGTATTAGGTATAGTAAAATACGCTACGAAGGGGAGGGGCCTCAAATAGGTCAAACATATGGTACGTTATTGATGCATGATCCCTTAATGTTATTGGCAATTTATCAAGGCTACAAAATATTTCAAGTGGATGGGCCTGGAGATTGAACCCACGATTCAATACTTGTTGAGCAGACACTCGGTGACTAAATCACCAAGCACGTTAAAAAAATCTATTTTTTTTATTCAATTTCAAATCGTATTACTCAATGACCAAACATACACTGACGTTAGGGCATTTTCTTTACTTTGAAACCGGTTAAACAACCTGCCGTTACGTCAGCATTTCAAACAACTTGTACGGACAATAATATTCCGTTTCCGTTTGTCACAACTGAAGGCTTAAACTTTCTCCTCTAGTCATTCCAGTAAGATTTTTTCGCCGGCCCGGCTTACCATTTGGCGCCACCAGAACGTCTTTGACCTAAGATAAAAACATTAAACTGAAACGTGCTCGATGTATCAGACGCTTCTCAATAGAAGAAAAATCGTCCAAAAGCAAAATAGAGAACATTATTTCGATTGTTCAATGTGTTCAATCAGGGATGGCAATTATTTCTGCTTCGGAAAAAAAGTAGGGTGAACCTGTCGGTAGCGGGTAAATCAAACACTTTTGTTTACATTCTGTCAAGCATGTTTGGTAATGACATGATGACTATATAGCCAAGTGAATGGAATTGGAAATTGAACTAGGGCTACTTCGAAGAGAATGTCGAAAGAAGCAACCAGGTAGGTTTCCTCTTGTGTTTGTTTTGACTCACTTTATTCGTTAAGTTGGACTGATGATAAATATTAGTTAGGTAGGTAGTAGGTTTATGAAAGATTATTATACGGTCTCTTTTGCAATCTCCTGCCAGTACCATATGTCCCTATTGATCGACTTTCGTTTTCTTTTGTCACGAAACTATCAATACTTGGGGACGTTAACTTACGTCACTGGGGCGAGATGGTGCATGAAAGTGAATAGAACTCTATATTTAAAAAGACTAAATAGATTGTTCATGAACGCAGAAGAATATAGTGCATGAAATCCATGCACACGATATACGATTTATAACTATTTGATGCTTCAGTTCCACCATACCGTTTCCAATGCATCAAGGCACATCCCAGCCGCGTCTAATACTCTACTGAGAAGCAAGGACGAAATTTGACTACCTTTCAAACTTTGCAAGGGAGCATTTCTTTATTCTTTCTTGCCGTGATTATTTGTTCCTATTGGAGATGAAAATATGTGGGGGGATGGTAGATGAGTGGAAACGAAGCAAATTCGAAGCGTTCATTCTCCTCCAAGCATGCAAACTTCTCTGACACTGCTGTTGCTGCTACCGGTCTATGAGAAGTGTTTCTGATGTAGAGGGGGTCGATAATTGCGGGTACGGTTCAATGTGAATTATTGGCGAAACCCCGTACTTGGGCCAACACTTACCGCTCTAACCTGTCGGTTGAACATGTAACAGATGCAGGTCCATATTTTCGATGCTAACACTAGGAACGCACGAAAGTTCATTTGAAATTGAGACAACATTGGCATCGTCCACCAGCACTGCTCCCGGCGTTATCCTTTCGCCCAGCCACGGTTCCCTCTTCCAGCGGGTTGAGTTCCGACGACGAAGGATTATTTTTCCTAGGCTTGCAAGCACTACCTTCTGCTCAAGACTTTATCGGAATACAGATGAACTGCAAGCACTCCACACTACGATTACGAGTACATCAACTACACGCGAAAATCACCAAAATGAAACCAAATTTGCTGATAAATAAAAAAAAAATATCTTGACGACGAAGACGAAAAAATGCTCGCGCTCGAAAGAAATCACATTTTCTTCTTCTTCTACTACTGCTGGTGCTGGTTGGCTGGCAAGGCAATCTTCGCTCGCCTTTTCTCGGTTGCGGCGGCCCCAAAAAACGCAAACTCTCTCACCACATACACGCACGGCGACAGACGGGGATGATTTTTGCAAAAAATTAAACGCTTCTTCGCTCCCGAGCGACGGATTGTACGAAAACTTTCCACAAAATTTTCCGATCTACTCCAATACACGACACCTCGGAAGATGACACGGTCGAACGCGATTTTTTTCCTATTTTCCGCGACACACGCCAAGAGGAAGGAAAAACTTTTTCTTGGTCAGCTTATTTTCTGTACTGTATAGAGGTAACCGCGAGTAGTTCGGCCGTCCTTCCTGCGCTAAGTTGTGTGTCTTGCCACCAAAATGATGCCTCCTGTGAGTGGAGTGGAAGAAAAACTCTGCTCTAGTCAGCGAAAAGCAGGCAAATTTTGTGGAAGTGGGTGTGCGTGTGTGTGTGAGATCTGTCACTCAAAATTCAAATTGACAACCGCGGCAGATGGGGTACTAGAATGTTGTCATTTTATGTCATCCTACGTGGCAAAGTTCACTTTTCGGGGAAATGTAAAAGACGCACTCACACATTATGTTACGTACAGCAGAAAAAGCAAACTGAGGGGTTCGTGGATTTTCCTAGCTTGGGACCGAAGAGAGTACCAGAGCCGAGGGGGCAACACATCTATATCTTAATTCCAGATACTCAGCAAATCTCACACTAGCGAATAAATACTCGAGAATAGATAGTCGCCCCCCTCGACCAGAGCTGAGTCGCCCCCTCGACCAGAGCTGAGCCGCTCCCCCGACCCAAAAAGTTAAGCTCGTTTCTTTGGGACCTTCTGGTCTTAGAGTTACCTCTATGGCTATACCAATAGTGGATGTAGAAATAGTTTCCAGATAGAAACATAAAATTGATTAGGTTCCGGCAACACTTTAGGCTAAGCCATTAAGCATTTAAATTTTTAATGGATACAACCAACTAACGATTTTAAATTGGCTCACTACTTGACTAGCTGCCCTAATAAAAATTGTATGGTTAATTTGCTTAACGACGTGTTCTGGGTATCATCCAAACCATTTGTGGAATAGTTCAATGATTTGGGTTATCGTTCGTTTATGGTTATTTTTTATTAGGGTGATTGGTCTCAAGCAAATTGAATCACGTACCCCATTCTAAAGCCCTCTAGTAAAAGTATGGACGACTGTCACCACAAAACTGAAAAAAGTTGTTCCAATCGAGCAAACCAGTGCATTTTGACGGTTCGATTGGAACTACTTTTGACAGACGTCCATACTTTTACTTAGAGGACTTTACCCCATTCAAGTCAAAATTCTAGTACTACACAATGTTTGTTGTGATTCGCTACACGAAACGAAAATCAATTATTGTATTCATGTGTTTCACTTATACATTTTTGCCAAAACATCAGCCTTATACATTCCATAATACAAACCACATAGGTTCTATAAGAATGCATAAAAGGTATATGTGACCGCTTATACATTTCATTTGACATATGATCTTCATTAACTTTTTGCAAGGCGTCTGCTTATTAGTTGACTTATACATTTTATGTATAATCAGCAATAGAAATTTGCCAAAAGGTATAAGGAGATTTCTATCCGTGTATGAAAGTTTAACAGATAAAATGAGGGGGTTCGTGGATTTTCCTATGTTTCGAGGGGTGAATCAATTAGCTTGGGACCGAAGAGAGTACCAGAGCTGAGCCAAAAAGTTGAGCACGTTTCTTCGGGACCTTCTGGTCTTAGAGTTACCTCTATGCTTCTGGTCTTAGAGTTACCTCTATGGTGATACCTCTGCTGGAGAAGATTTTATGTGAAAAATGGATAAAATTAGCTCAATGCATTTCGTGGCAATTCTGTAGTTCTAAAATAATCTGTGATTAATGATTGATTTCTATGTTTGGAGCATGCACAGTAAAAGCAACAATCAATACGAAACTATCGATTTGAAATTGGCTCACTACTTGACTAGCCTATTGGTCCCAAGCAAACGATTAACGTATCCCATTCTAGTTGGAATTCTACTACTACACTATGTTTGTTTTGATTCTCTATGAAAGTTTGACAGATAAAATGAGGGGTTCGTGGATTTTCCTATGTTTCGAGGGGTGCATCGACTAGCTTGGGACCGAAGAGAGTACCAGAGCTGAGCCAACAAATAAGGCACGTTTCTTCGGGACCTTCTCAACAATCAATACGAAACTAACGATTTAAAATTGGCTCACTACTTGACTAGCTTATTGGTCCCAAGCAAACGATTAACGTACTCCATTCTAGTCGAAATTCTAGTACTACTCAATGTTTGTTTTGATTTGCTATGAAAGTTTGACAGATAAAATGAGGGGTTATTGGTTTTTCCTATGTTTCGAGGGGTGAATCGTTTAGCTTGGGACCGAAGATAGTACCAGAGCTGAGCCAAAAAGTTGAGCACGTCTCTTCGGAACCTTTTAGTCAAATTTACGCCAACGCCACGCAAACGGATCTAATGTGGGTGGCCCTTTAGAGTTACCTCTATGATAATGCCAAATGTGGTTGAAACGAAAAAAAAAATCTCGGATCGAGATGCGCAATGCCACCCTAGATTTAGACCACATTCAGTCTATTAACTATATTCTCATTTCCGTTCAAATCGTATTTTTTTTTGTATGTAAAGTATGGTTCGAACGTAAACCAGAATATTGGTGTATATTTTTAATTCTTCAAAAGATTTGTCATTACGTAAATTAATATTCAAGAAATAAACTAACTGCAATGTAAATAACATGTTTTGATATTAATCGAGATTGTAAAGTGGAAAGAGAGAAGTTACACGCAGAGAATGAATGTACAAACATATCCAAAGTAAGCTTCTAATCAACGGAAAGAGAAAAGACCTGTCTGGAAATATCCTATATAAATAGGTTATCTAATGAAAGGACAATGGAATGTATATATGTCATTTTTATCTCTGACAACAATAAATATTTATGAACATTCTTTAATATTTCGTATCGAGTTTATCAATATTTACAACAAAAATAATGACTCATATACATCTATGAAAGTATTCCCCATCCGGGCAAGTATTCCAATCTGTAAGTCATCGATTCGCATAAAAGCAGGCATTCAAAATAGTTTGGGTTTGTTGCCATCAGCATAAAAACGGGCCGCATCCATCGCTAAACCTTCCCAAGTAATTCTAGAGCTTGGCTTAAGCCTCCAGGGCTATTTTCTTGCCAGACCGCTCCGAATCTAGAAGTCAAGAATGTTGTTAGGTAATAATAATACTTCATCAACGAATATATGATACCTTTCTCCTTCCGCCGCTTCTCGGGCGTCGGTTCATCCTCCGGCACAACGGGCAACCTTTCGCCAATATCCTCTTCCTCGGTAGTCTTCTCCTCGTCTTGGCCACCAACGAGCTGCTCCAACTCGGCCAGCACTTCATCTTCGTCCTCCTCGGTCAGTACACCGTTCAGCAGTGCGTCGATCTCCTGCTGCTTTTCGATGCTCTCTCTCGTTTCGTCCAGTATCTGTTCAACCTCTTCGATCGAGAGGATTTCGTTCACCTTCTTCAGTGCTTCGTTGCCGACCTTGAGGCCACTGATGACCTGCGCTTCCACCTGGGCAAATTCGATGTCGGACGCTAGTTTCTCTATCGTTTCAATCTGAGCGTCCGCGTTGGACAGGAGCTTTTCCTGGTACTTCTTCTTACGAAGCAGCGTTTTTGCTCGTCTAAGGTTTAAGATTTGAAATTTTGCCAGTTATTAAAACTGATGTACGAAACTCAAAAACTACTCACTCTTTTCGACCAGTCGCCAAACATTTTTTCGCTATCTCTCGATCTTTCCCCAACTGAAGTTCAATCCGTTTCTGGTACTGTTTCAATTTGTCTCTTTGTTGTTTAAGTTGCTATTGGGTGCGGATAAAAGCGAAATTTAATCGAACTTTTGATTTCTGCTTCGCGTCTACTTACCAGCACTGCTTTGTCGTGTTCAGTTACTCTGCTCACTTTAGCTTTACTGCTCGATTTACCGAACAAGTTTCCCATTGTATGCCTGATTTAATGATATGCTCTAGGGGATGTAACTAAAAATTACTAATTAAATTACTGATAAATCGCTTAATAAACGCAAAAAGTTGATTCCAAAATCAGCTGGCGATGAAGAGGGGATGAGTCAAGATGTTTTGGTGTTGTGACAATTTGCGTTTTTGTTGTTATCAAAGTTTTATTTTTGTTTATCTCCCCATGTGTACCATGTGGTAAATTTTAGTTGAGAAGGTACTAGAATATCGCGACCATCGATTGAAAAAGGTCTATCAGCTTTTGTTTACAAAACTATGTAAGCCCTTTCCATGCAAAGCATAGGCCGCCTACGCAAATCAACAGGATAATCGATTAGGAAAAATTTCCTCTACACGATGACGCCATTGATTTACGTGGGCGGTGGCCTTCGGTTTGCGAGGAAAGGGCTTACAAAGTGTTGTTTTCAAAAGCTGATAGGCTTTTTTCAATTGTTGATCGAGATATGTTTTCGATTTAATCGAGGATTTTAATCGCGCAGGAATACACTGTCCCGAAACATCATGTTATTACAGAGCAGTATATTGAATGAATATTTTATCTATTGTGGAAATCTAAGAGAAGAGGTGACAATACGGGGGCGAAAATGTACCACTTTTCTGTCAAACGTGAACCAGCTCCTGATTGGCCGATTTCATGTGCGTAAGATAGAGATAGATAAAGATAGAGATAGAAATAAAGGAGGAACAAGCCAATTGTCACCTCTTCCTCTTAGGTGGAAATTAAAGCTCTCGTCAGCTCCAATAGCTGTTGATCAGATGGCGTTCCTGCAACTTTTTGAAATGCAACATGTTCGCCCTTATAAAAAAAATTCACCATAAATGAAGAATAACCCAAATGATAGAACCATTCTATAAATCTCCGGAGAACTTCAAGGCCGTTTACATATTTTTCCGCCATTTTCCAATTATCTCGTGGCAGAGTTGATGATAGAAAAGTGACGCAGACCAAACTTGCTTCCAGCTTTCACTCACTTGCTATAGAAAAATGATTTTCGGAATTTTGGAATCATTAGATCAGTGCCATAACACTTCAAAGGGGTGTAATCATAGAGGTAACTCTAAGACTAGAAGGTTCCGAAATAACTTGCTCAACTTTTTGTCAACTTCGGTCCCAAGCTAATCGATTCACCCCTCGAAACATACTAATTTTATCTGTCAAACTTTCATAGCGAATCAAAACAAACGCTGTGTAGTAGTAGAATTTCGACTAGAATGGGGTACGTTAATCGTTTGCTTGGGACCAATAGGCTAGTCAAGTAGTGAGCCAATTTAAAATCGTTAGTTTCGTATTGATT